CCTGACAAAACGACACAATTTCACATTTTAACAGACGTCACTCACAGACACTGATGTCTGATGCACATCATCGACTGTAGCTAACAAGCTTTAGATTATGAGGATGACTTTATTTATAGTAAACAAAAACAAATGAATGTAAAGTTGTGACTAAAGCAATTTAGTAAATAATTAGGGTCAGAGGAACCTGCAGGATCGCGTGTTTGTTTTTCAGATGACGATCATGTTGTCACATGTACCTGCGACTGATCGCTGGACGTCTCCATCTTCTCCTGAGATTTTTCTCTGGCCAGTTTCGCAGCTTCTTTGACCTCCTGGAACTTCTCAGCGAACTGAGGTAAAACACAGAAAAAACACGGATCAGGACAGGAAAAAAATATGGATCGGGACTGTTACACCTCTGACTGTCAAAGCATGCGTGACGGCCTGTGTGTGTGTGTGTGTGTCTATGTGTATGTGTGTGTGCATGCTTGCGTGACGATCTGTGTGTGTGTGTGTGTGTGTGTCTGTGTGTGTGCATGCTTGCGTGACAATCTGTGTGTGTGTGTGTGTGCATGCATGCGTGACGTATTGTCAGACCTTGGACAGCTGTTGTTCGGAGGCGAAGCCGAGTACACACACTGTGTTTGCACGACTGTCGGCCCACTGGCCAAACTTCTGCGATGTTTTAGTGAAGTTCATATTGGGGGTGATTGTGCTGTTGATGATCACCTGAAAACAAACATCACAACGTTACAACGGTCTCACACACACACACACACACACACACACACACACACACTCACACTCACACTCACACACACCATTCATGTGTGTTAATAAATAACAGAGTGCTGATCTGGTATCAGTCATTAATCTTTCACATGTTGCTTCTCTAAATACTCCTGTATTCTGTAATAATTCTCCAAAATGTAGCTGTGTATTCTGTGTATTTGACGTAATTTCTTCAGTGTTTCACTCACCGATTCTGTGTGACTCTTGAAAATTATCAGAGTAACACGTGTGTGTTCGGCCAGCCATTTAACCTCAACATGTGTGTGTGTGTGTGTGCGCGCTGTCAGAGTGACAGCAGCAGGTGTGTGTGTCTGTCTACTACTAACACACTAATGTGAGCGTGAGTCTTCATCTATCTGCTCTCAGAGAGTGACAGCTGCAGGTGTGTGTGTGTGTGTGTGTGTGTGTGTGTATGTGAGACTCTCAGCAGGTCTGCGCTGTGACATCATCACTGCCAGTGTGTGTGTGTATGAGTGTGTGTGTGTGTGTGTGTGTGTGTGTAAGAGTGCATCAGTTCAGCTCATTAACTCTGCTCTGATTTAGATTTGACTCAGACGTCACGTGATTTCTGAGCTGCTGACGACCTCAAAAATCATCTGAGCGCGCAGGTGTTTCTGTCATCGGCTCGAGTGGCCTGCTGCATCCCTGTGATGACAAGACTGAGGTGAAATATTTGGGTTTAACAATATCTAAGGATGATCGTAGGATAGAGGAGGTTAACATTGAGAAACGTGTCGTTGATATGAAAAAATCTCTGAGTCACTGGCTGACCAGAGATCTCACAGTATTTGGAAGAGTTATTCTATCTAAAGCTGAAGGTGTGTCTAAGTTATTATATCCTTGTCACTCTTTGTTTATTTCTGACAGCAATATTAGGAAGGCCAATTCAGTCATTTTTCAATTTCTATGGAGAAATAAAACGCATTATTTAAAAAGGTTCCAGATAGTTAAAGAGTATAAAAATGGCGTATTAAAAGCCTTAGATTTTGAAGCCTTGATAGGCTCATTTAGAATTAATTGGTTAAAAACTTTTTTTGCTTGTTCCAACTCTTGTGTGGTTTCACATACCTAGGGCTATTTTTGGAAAGCTTGGTGGTATGGATTTTTACTGAGATGTGATTTCGATATTAATAAGATTCCACTTGCACGGTCTAAATTTCATAGTCAAATACTACACTTTTGGAAAATGTGATGCTTCTTTTGGGCCAAGAGCATCAAAGAGGGGACTGTAAGAAATTATAGTCTGCCTCGACCCAGCTTCCACTCCAAATTGTGTATTAAACTATGCTCCTTTCTCTACAAAGAGCTTAATTATCATATAGATAGTTCTTTCCGATCTTAATCATATGTAAATAGTACCTCCGGAGCGATAATTTGTCACTTATAGCGTGGGAGCAGCAGCAGGCCGTCAAGAACCATCTGCTGACCAAAAGGGTACATGAAATAACTGCTATGGATTCTGTTTAATCTTATCACCTTAACATTTGGTTGTTCCCACTTGAGTCTACCGAAGATGTGGGAACGGAAGGCTATCACTTTCATTGTTATCCGCAATTTACATTTAAAACGAAACTTAATTTACATGTTGAGCGGGAAGATGAACGTAATAGAGTATAAAATGTTTGAGCTTAGGATGTTCGGGGTTCAGTCTGACTCCGTTGAACCCAAGGTACTACATGTACTTTGTCACTACTATTCTGTAATAAAAGTTATTCTTCATCAAGATCTTCGACGTCTTCACTTTTTCTTACATAACTTTACTCCGCACAGTTCGACTCTGTGGAACAACAGAACAATACGTATAAACAGGAGATCAGTATTTAAAGCTGAATGGTTTGACAAAGGAATTCTCTTTGTAACGGACTTGATGGATTGTAAAGGTGTTCTACTGGATCACACCAGCTTTGTTGTACGATCTAATATAAACTGTACTCATAGAGAGTATCACAACGTAAAGCTATTCCTGTAGCCTTGATCCACCTAATCCAGAATACTTTGACTTACTCTGATGTCACTCCAGTATTGCCGAATTTATCAATTGGTCTTCATAAATGAGTTGATAAAAACTTCAATAATAGGGTTGCTATGGATGCTTTTAAATCTAAATTGTTCCATGATTATAATAAAAATTGTCGTGCCCCGAAAATATCATCGGACATGTCCAAGTTTCTTGTGTTTTAAATGTTTGTTTTTTTTGCCTTACATGTATTGTGGATCCCCTTAAGGTTTGATGCTGATTGTTATTGTATTTGGTTTTATTCTATGCTGTTACCTCTATGAGTTCTTGTATTCTATGTTTAAT